TATCAGGAGAGACTCGGAGTAGAACCTGCTCCTCCACATCCAGAGGAAACAGTTGAGGTGGTTCAACATCTGGTTAAGGATGCTCACTGGGTGCCTCCCTAGGGAGGTGCTTCAGGCATATTCAACTGGAAGGAGACCCTGGGGAAGACCCAGGACATGCTGGAGAGACTACGTCTCTCTGTTGGTCTGGGAACACCTTGGAGTCCTCCCAGAGGAGCTGGAAGAGGCTGTAGAGAAAGATGTCTGGACCTCCCTGCTCAAGATGCTGCCCCCACTGAGATCTGCTGGACTGTGTTCGAGTTTGGAGAAAGCTAGTTCAAACCCCCCCCCCCCCCCCCCCCCCCCCCCCCACAATCAATAGATGCAAGCTGCAACTTACTTTGCAATGACGGGGACTGAAACAGCCTGTGCAACAGCCTGAATATAATCACAGTGGATCGGGTGTCTGGGACGCTCTTCTTTAAACCTCAACAACAAAGACACAGAACAGAACAGGACATTATTTCACACATCAGAAAATTCTTGAGCAAAGTCCGAAATTTGGCATTCAGTCAGCTGTGTCAGTCCTCCATGTAAAACATATCATTTATGTTGGCGTCACTTTCTGTTGGAGAACATCTGGGCGATGGTTATGAACGTTTTATTGTGTTATATTGTGGCTGAGAACGTCTTTCCTTCCTGCCTTGAGAACCTGCTGTCTACCAAAACAATCTCTTATCTCAACTTGGAAGCTGACTCGCCAACTCGCGGTGCCTCTTGGCGTCGTCACCATGAGAACATGCCCAAAACATTAACGTATCTCCACCTGGACGCCGACTCGCCGATGGCCATGGATCATGTCTGTGCAGCTGACTGCGGCTGGCTACAGGAGGGAACGCCCGCTGACCTCTGCTGCTGTATAAAGTCTGCAGACGACGGTGTTCAGTGCTGACTGTGTAACAATGTTCTCATGAATATGAATTTATTTTTGTTCATGTATGGAACCTGTCCTGAAATCAGCCCTTG